GGATTCTGGTTCTGGTTAAATAATTCAACTTCCATGCTTGCCATGGATGTGCATATAGTTTCAATTTGGTTCCTTGTTTCCGGTTTCAATTATTCATGTTCCATGTGAGTCATGGATGTGCTATCTGGTTTTTATTCATGTTTCTGTGGGTAAGCGCTGATCACGCTTACTCGGCTTTGCCGGTAAATGCTAGGATGTATTCACAATTGTCTGGGATGGAAACTACTATTTTAATTCATGTATGCCCGAGATGGGAACTACTATTTTTTTTTTCTTTGATTTGGTGTTTGAAAAGTGTTTCTTAACAAAGAAAGAAAACTTTCTGTTCATGCTATATTGGCACTGATGTGTATATGCGTTTTCTAGTTTAATATTGTAGTTGCTGATTATTTCCGTACTCACTCTTGTGTTTATTTGGTTTTAGGTACACATTGAGAACGGCATGCTTGGGCGGGAAATAGCACCCTTATATACACATTTATCTATACACTATCAAACTATATTGCTTAGGTTCATAATGACACTCAATCTATATCCCGGTTTGGTCAGGTAATAATTATTTAGATATCTATTAGTTTATTTTCATGGAGTTATATGGATGGATAGCATTGTGTGAATGAAATTATTAATAGTTTACATTATAACTACATGTCGTGGATGTCCATATTTACAGGGGAGACTTTGTCGAAATTCCTAATGTATTTAGGACTTCATAGTTTTTGTTCCGTAGTGTGTAGCATTCTAGGTAAGAGATTACCTGGGGTGTTACAGTTGCTCTCTCTGTTTTTTTAATGTATGACGCCATTAATTTTATGACCAACATTTGACTATTCGTTTTATTTAAAATTATTGTGCGAATATAAAAATATTTATATCGTGCTTAAAGAACATTTGATGGTAAATCAAGCTATGTCATAGTAAAATAAATAATTGCATAAATTTTTTGATTAATTAAGACGAATGGTCAAAACATATATCAATGTCAACAATGTTATGCATTAAAAACCGGAGGGAGCACTTATTATCCTAAAATCATTCGTTACAAAGGACGATATGGGACCTAGGGGTCATTGTCTTGATACCAGTAAATATGAATGCATCCCTACATGGTCGTCTGAAAGCCACTTGTGTCATGCCAACCACCATGCAGGCATGAAGCATTATATAAGTTTGGAAAAAGTATGAATTACCCCCCTGAACTATTGCGGTCGTCTGAATTACCCCCCGAACAACAAAACCGGACATTCTTCACCCTGAACTATACAAACCGGACAAATTACCCCCCGACCCAATCCGCGGTGGTTTTGGTCTACGTGGCGTACGTGTGGCAGTCCACCTCCCCGCGTCCTCCCCGCGTCGCCCGCCGCCGCCGTGTCCTCCCCTACCGCCGCGTCCACCTCCTCGGCGCCGCCCGCCACGTAGACCAAAACCACCGTGGATTGGGTCAGGGGGGTAATTTGTCCGGTTTATATAGTTTAGGGTGAAGAATGCCCGGTTTTATGTGGTTCAGGGGGGTAATTCAGACGACCGCGATAGTTCGGGGGTGCTAATTCGTACTTTAGGCTACATTAGGTCAAGTTGTTCTTTACGTACATAGCAAGAACATATACATAGGGGCCAACATATATATTCCCATGCATGCATGCAGCGAAAAGCAACAGTAAAATTAATTACTACACAATTAATGTGGGCAACAGTACATGTTTGTTGTTGGTGAAACAGTACGTGCAAAGAGGACGATTTGTAGGGTTTATCTGAGGTGTCAACTTTAATCAATAACGTCTACTTTTATCTGAGTACTATTTGTTAAATAACATCTCTATGTACCCTAGTCGTATTTGTTAAATAACATCTCAATGTACCATAGTCGTATTTTGACCGACCGATAAAAAATGATTTCTCCACCAGTGCATTATATGCATTTCTGCATGTACAGGTATTAAATCAATATATAAGTTTTCAAACCACTCTTTATATTACTGAAGGGTGTGTGCTCCATGCATGTCCTGTTTCTTCTCTTGATATTTAGTCAATCGATAGATATGTCTGTAAGGGAAGCTATTTTAAGCCCTCGGTGGTACGAGTCTTTGTTTAATTTCTTGGTTTGCTTATATGGGCACGCGGTCGAGGCAATCTATCTATCTATTATATACTAAAAGTCCATTAAACTTCCTATAAGCGCTCCTAAGCCGCCACGTGACCTTCTATAAACGCTCCAACGATGTCAAGTGGCAGTCTAAAAATCTAACCGTTGATTTTTCTTTAAATTGGTGGGTCCAATATTTTTAACCATTAGATCAAATAAAAAAAATAAAATCCTCCTCTCCACACTGGTCCCCACCTCCTCTACGTTCCCCTCCTCCTCCAGTTGGTACGTAACGTACGTACTCCCTCTCTCTCCACATATCCTCTTCCCTTTCCTAATCTTCAATCTATCTATTATCTATTATCTATCTATTATCTACTAAAACTCCATTAAACTTCCAATAAACGCTCCTAAGCCGCCGTATAGCACCTCTAAAAACACTCCTAAGTCGTTATGTGGCGCTTTAAAAAATTTTAGAATACAGTGGACCCATATTTATAACCATTAGATCTATTATAAAAAAATACAATTAAATTTATCTCAAAAACTCGCATTGTATGTGCACATATAGGTATAAAAAAACAAGTACGTCCATACTTTGATACGCGTAAAACGCTGGGCCCACATCATTCTTTTTTTTTCTTTCTCACTTATTAGATGGAAAACCAATCTGCCTATATTTATCGTCTCACTTTCCCAAAAAAAAAAGACAAAACTTAATTACCTACGTCATATACTATGGACAAAATGATAAATCAAAAAAAATATCAATATATTAATAGTAAAATCAGAAAGAAATACTAATAAGAAAAATCATAAACGCCAGCACTTATTGTTGTCAATAGTCTTTGAACTACGATTTTGTTAAAAATAATACCACACAGAAATAAGTAGGAGGCAAAAATTATAATTATTTTCATCACCTCCTCTTTTTGTCCATCCCTGTCCTTCAATGCAGGGTGTAGTGTTTACTATGCCATCGTAAATATCGCAGGCATATGCATATGGTTGAGTTAAGATGGTGTCAGTAAAAGACCAATGTAGACAATGTATCTAAAGTGACATTCTTACTAATGTAATCCTTTGTGGGTATGCCTATAGTGAACTAAGTGTTAAAATGGTGCCATAGGATGGTCTTCAGGTGCACTTCTACGTCAATATGGGACCTATGTTTCAGGGCATTACATAAGAAAGCTTTTGTAGTTATCGACTTCATCCGTTAGAGAGACATTTATGTCTATTTTTAACGGTGCTATCGTATTATCCGGTAGAAGTGGTATGTTTAGACTATTTATACATAGATGTGGAAATAAGTGATGGACATCGAGTTAAGCAGTGTTGATGATTTTTTAGTGTATTAATAATATACAATGCAGTTTTATTTATTAAAAATGCACATAGCTTTTAAAACTATAACAATAGGGGAGTTTATATATGACCACGACAAAATGATTTTTATTTAAATATGAGAGATATTCTTATTCTTATATTTAGTAGTATATTAAAATATTACATCTATTTTATGGCAAATATATTTCTTTTTTATTGGAAGATAATTTACATTCCCTTACAGTGTATATAATGATATATGATTTATTTTACTATTCTTTTTCTTGAACAACAAAATGTCAGTGCATCTATGCGGCTTTTATTTCCAGTTTATATTTTTGAAAATATTTTCTAATTTATATTCCACCCTTATAGTGTTTGAAATACAACCTACGATACATGTCCGCGCGAATGCGCGGGCTACTGTTAAGATAAATTTTAAAAAAGAAGAGAACATATAAGGTTATTCTGCTACTTATTCAATTCCTTGAAAAGATAAAAAACTCAGACTATACGAAAAGGTTTAATAAAATTCGTAGATGGATAATGTTTACTTTATTTCTTCATGTGCAGTTTGTAGATCAAACTTTACTCTTGCATATTTATGAAAGAATATTTGACAATAATCTGTCCCTATAGATGTTTGTGGAAGTACATATCTATAGTAAAATAGTCATTCTGATCTATTTTTTCCATATTAAAATATTAATAGTTCCTCAGAACATAGCACAACTCCAAAATATGATAGAATCGTAAAATGAATAAAATTTAAATTGGTGGTAAAGTCCCTTTTTATCATTCAACTTTGCTCGAAGTACAATTTTTAACCTGAACTACAAAATTGGATATATTCTTCACCACCAACATTTAAAACTATAGATATATATAACACCCTAAATTATATTTCATGGGGATCTTGATTGATAGATAGTATCTTTTCATCAGCACGAGCTTAAGGGTGAGTTTGAGGAGGAGGAGATTGAGAAGATTGGGAAGATACGTAAAACGAGGTGAGCCATTAGCGCATGATTAATTGAGTATTAACTATTTTAAATTTAAAAAATAGATTAATATGATTTTTTAAAGCAACTTTTCTATAGAAAATTTTTACAAAAAATACACCATTTAGTAGTTTGGGAAGCGTGCGCGCGGAAATCGAAACAAACTCACTCACTTTCTTCAACTGCCGAACGCAGCCTAAAATCAGGTACTCCGTACGTTTCATGGTTATGTGTCTAATCGTAAAGAAATGAACAATAAGGGCGCAAATAGGAAGACAATCTCCATTTCAAATAAATCAACGAAACAACTGTACGCTGAGATTTTTTTTGTCTGGATTAAATACTAGCTTGGAGGTGAAAAACAGACTTTGACTAAAGTTTATTTTCTAAAATTTAATTGATTTACCCTTTAAATTGCCAGTTTGCCACTTTGACTAAAGTAGAGCGCCGACTAGCTAGCTAGAATAATTTAATAATCTGAATTAAGAACCGATCGATTTATGCCATGGCGTAGTGTTACCACTCTCACCACACATTTCTCCTTCATATATACGAAAAGACAAATTCAGTCAATATTCGACATGTTTAATGAAAGGAACTTTTTGATCCATTACTCTCATTATTGATTATATATTGTCACAAATCCAAGCAGCTTGCTCAACACACGATACATCGATCAATATATGGCCAACCCATGCCAAACAAGGGTTATTACAAATTCAAATCTCACCTCTCATCAATAGCTAAGAAAGGAAATCAAGCATATGCTTCAAAGGTTAACTACTACAAACAGTTCATGAGAAGAAATCAAGTAAATATATGAAACACACGCGAATTATGGATCATCGAGATATGGCTAGCTAGCGAAGCTAGCATTATGGCGCAGGCCGGCAGCCGAGCTAGGCGACATAGTACATGGGGTTGGGGTACTTAAACGTACGGCAGCCCTCCGGCGAGCCGAGGATGTCGGTCCACTGGTCGCCGATGTTGCCGACGATGACATAGCCGGCGTCCACAAGCTTCTGCCGCTCATCAGTCTTGAACGCCTGTGTTGTGGTCTGAAGCCCAACCGGCTGGAACAACAGTTTCTCCCAGCTGCAGTAACCCTGAGAGAGGAGGTTGTTGGTGGTGACTGTCCTTTGGTCCTCGGTGCGGTCAGTCAGGAATACTGGCTTAACACCGAGCTGGAGCAGCCGTTGGTAGAGCCGCAGCGTCCCCTGCAGCGCCGGTGCGCTTCCCTCGGACACGTACTGGATGAAGCTTGCCTGATCATATGGCTGAACTCTGCGAACGGAATAATAATTTAGATTATTTCAAAAAGAATACTCCCTTCATTTTTTAATAGATGACACCGTTGACTTTCGCCATCACGTTTGACCATTTGTTCTATTCAAAAGGTTTTTTGTAAATGTTATTTATTTTGTTATAACATATTTATTATTGAAAAAAATTTAAGTACAATTTATACTTTAGCATATTTGCACTATATTTTTTAATAAGACGAATAATCAAACGTTATTACAAAAGTGAGTGACTTCATCTATTAAAAAGGAGTAGTATTTAAAAGTGCTAAAACATTAATAAATGTCTAATTAAGGTGGTTAGTGGGTACATCCATTTATATTAATTAGAATTTCAAATTTAGGACTCATATTTTTTTTGAGAGGGAACAATTTATTAAATTTGATGATGATATATAACTAAAAGAAACTTGGTGACCTAGGGTATAGGTATATGTGTATAAATACGTACCCGTAGCCATGGTTGGCTTGGTAGGGCAGTGTGGAGAGCGCGGTTTCGTCGACGTCGAACACCCAGATCTCCTTGCCGCTGCCGGAGAGCTTGAGGCTCTCGGCGTAGGCGATGGCCTCGTTGATCACCACGTCGGCGTCGCGGGGGTATCGATCGCCGGTGAGGTAGTCGGCGAGGTATTTGGCGCAATCCGCCGTGAACGTCTTCCAGCCGATGATGTTGTGCGCCTCAATGGCCGTCCTCACGCTGCCGCAGTACGGCGGCGGCTTCGCCTCCTGGGCGCTGCAGAAGCAGCTGCCCGCCGCCGCCACCACCGTGAGCACTAGGAGCAACCTCGCCGTCGCCATTGTTGCCGTCTCCTTTCTCTTGAGCAGTGATGAGCTGCTGTAGAGGAGAGATCGAGGAGGCTGTGAGCTTCAGCGAGGAGGGCATGGGGTTTATATAGCAGAGGAGGAAGGAGAGATCTAAGAGGGGGGTTGTCAGTTTGGGCGTCAACGTCGAGGTCGCGCGCGCCTTGCCGTACGTACTCGCGAGCTCAACATTTCACCGGCGAGATCTCCGTGCGTGCGTGCCGCCGGAGCGTACGTTGGCGTAAGTTGCGGGTTACGATCCCGTCGAATCGGATTAGGACGTTTTGCCCGGCGGATCGATCGACGCGCGCAGCGGGGTCATAACGTTGTTGTTTGCTGTAATAATGCATAGTTGCTTTGCATTTGCATATGTCCGGTGGCGATCGATCGACTCCATCCGGGGTCAAGTGTTAGAAATAATGTTGTTGTTGTAATTAATGGTAGCTGCTTTTATGGTGGGGTACTACAGTACGTCGTACTGTACTACTGTGTGCAATTAATTGATTAAGGTGTGCGTGCACAACGTACCTGGGGATATGATCATGTATGATATGTACACGTACAGGACCGTGACGTGCACTGTGATTTGTTCAGTGGAGTTTGTCGAACGCGTGTGAGTTGTTTTCATGTAGCCGTACGTTTACCACCACCGAAGAAAATCAGGGTTGTAATTGGACTTTTTTCCATTGCAATGCTTTTTTTTACTGAATGCTTATCTCTATCTCTATCTCTACTACTCCCTCCGTTTCATAATGTAAGTCATTCTAGTATTTTCCACATTCATATTGATGTTAATGAATCTTGACATATATATATCTATATAGATTCATTAACATTAATATGAATGTGCGAAATACTAGAATGACTTATATTGTGAAACGGATGAAGTATTATATAAATTAAAGTTGTTTCCGCCAAAATTTTAGTATGTCATCCGTGTTTAAGTTAGTTTTCTAATATTTATCTTTATCTCAAATCTATTTTATACCTAAGCAAGGATTCTGTGTATTTGATTTTGTATGTCATGCATACATATGTGTCTAATCCGTTGCCGCGCACCTCTGCAGCGCCGCCGCCGCGCCACCACCGTGCCACCCGGGCCAAACCCTAACGCCGCCGCCACATTGATCTACCACCTCATGCGTTTTCTCCCCTAATTAATTGCAAAAATTGATTCCTCACTCATCCCTCATCCTTTCCCATGATTTTCCCTTTCAATTTGGCTTTAGTTCATTAGATTTAATCTTCGTTTAACGGTAGTGAATGATGGCCAATCAGTGATCTTCCCCCGGCCGTTTTTATCCCGAGTTTTATGGATTTGCTCCGAGTTTGGGAAATACTGAAAAAAGAGATCAAGTGGATCAAAAGCCCTTAATCAGTTTTAGAAGACCGAGAAATATTCAACTAGATTTGATGGAGATGATCGGCTTCGGTATTGTACGTGCACGGAACTATTTTCCGGAAGTTAAGAGAGGCAGGCAGAGCAAGGGAGGTAGGAGGCAACGCTTGTTCAATTATAATATTTATCAATACTGATCTTTCAATTTATTCCTCAGCTCTCAGTTGTTGTACCATTAGAAAAAACGCTTTTACTCGTTGTAACGCATGAGTATTTTTTCTATTAATAGAATAAGAGAGAGGGGATCAAATATGTATGTATGTTCTTTTTCCTTTGAGTTGGACCCTTGATAGCGAGTCGTTCGTAGTGATTTCGTCAACATTTGGATATACCAATTCAATTTTTCGGAGGTACTGATAAGGATAGGGTATGCGTGTGTATTTATAGGATGAGTTGAGTACGTTACGAGCGCATGCGTTTTACTGTGTAAGTAAAAAAATGTTATGAAAAACTAGAGAACGTAACAGTCCTAGATTTTTCTATTATGACATGCTCCAATTGGCAAAATGCCATCAGAACAGAGGTAATTGCTTATATGCCACTAGAATAATGCACTGTCGTACCTCCAAAATGCCACTGCCACTCAACAAAGTCCCTAAAATCTTGCAAAATGTAATTTCTACATTTTACTCTCCTTTCTCTGTCCGTTTCGATCGCCTTCCTCGTCGCTGGGTGAAGGACAGCGTCCGCAGGCTCTAGTGTGTCTAACAAGCATAGTAAAAGAAAGGGGACCTGGCAGGTGATTAAACCGGGAAAAACTGAAACCAACACCCTGAGAGCTGAGTTTTGTCATGACAACCGCCTAGTGATTTGGTTTATTTAAAAGACCGCCTTCACAATTGACCGCAGATGAACCGGCTGGTTTTGGCATGACCCGACGAACCGAAGCAAACCGAGCCAGCCGGGTCAATGTGTGCAGCAACAGAACTTAAGCCACTTAGAGGCCCATGTAGCATAGCAAGTATATTTATTCGAAATAAACTCAAAATAGGTGCCTATGTTGAGAATCGATCCCTATTAGGTGTGATTTTGGCACTACTGAGGAGATGAACCATGTTTGCTATCAAAACATGTGAAGTATTCCTATGGTTTCAAACCGCGGTTTAACCAACGGAGTAGTGAACTAACAGCTTGACCGATTCAATCTCCGGTCCAGTTTTTTCTACTATGCTAATAGATAGGGGTGGATATCAAGCTGGCTTGGCTCGAATGCTGCTCCAATGAGCTCATCCAGCTCGATCACAAGATAGATCTGGGCAAGGCAGGCACCAGACGCCTTCGTCTCCGCGAGCACAGGCAAATAAGCAGGAGGAACAAGCTTGCGGCGCAAGTTGATGGTCGGCAGAGCGAGCAGGAGATCAGAACGCGCGCTGGCAAGCAGCACGTACGACGACACCTTTTTGGAGCGGTGAGCTCCACCGCGTACGGAAGCCTGTCGATCTTCTGTCGGTGGGGGGAGTACTCTCGTCGGCGGCCGGCGCTGGAGGTCATCGCCCTCCGTACCTCGCTGCCTGGCTCGGACCCCCGGATGGGAAGCTAGGATAGACGGCTGCTATGCACCTGTGCGGCTGTGCTTGCTCATGAATCGTTTGCTTGGTGGCAAGGATTTAATTATAATATATGGGCTGCTGCAAGATGGGGCCGTGGTCACGTTGTTGTTACGTCTGATGGGCTACTAACACGTTTTATAAACATATATATTTGCCTTTATGATAGAGGGCTGCTACAAAACGGGATCCCGTTACAACGGGATAGACATATTAACTATTTTCTTGCACGAGTATCACAGGTATCAGGTCTTAGGTATCACAGATACCAAGTAACAGGTATCGTAGAAATCGGGTACCATGTAGCTGGTACCATAACATGTATCATGTATAGGTACTGTCTCATAGAAGAGTATCCCGTTCCAACGGGATACCGTTCTCTAGATTTTCTGTTATGATATCATCATCTCTAACGAGCTAAATCATTAGATCAGCTCGTTACAAAATTGCAAAGGGCTGAGCCAAGCAAGCTAACGAGCTACTCTCTCTGATGTAAGACATATTTCTGTTGTCATAGCGATCACTTAACTTCCCCCATGTAAGGAAACCAAAGAACTATATATATGTATGCACCCGATAGGTACTAAGATGATTGCTTAGGCTCCAGTCAACAATTAACTTAGCACATGAAAACTACAATGATAATCTCTTTTGGAAAATCCAAAAAATAAAATACACCTAACATTTTTAGATGGAGGGAGTACGAGCTTTTTCGTCCAAGTCTACTGACAAGGGAGAATGATACAGTTGCTGAGTTTGACGTGGATTTGACTATTGGTATGGATCAGGGAGGAGGACAGCGGTGTTGGGTAGGGGTGGCAATTTGCCCATAGGGGAGTGAAGACCTAGCGGGTACCCGCCCCTACGGGGTTGGGGGCGGGGTTGCTTTTTCACTTGCGGGGCTATCGGGTTGGGGCCCCGATAATTTTCGGGTTCGGGGCCGGGGGCAGGGATAGAAAGTGACCCGCGGATCACCCGGAACCCATTGAAATTAAGAAAAAATATGTTTAGCACTTCACCCCAATGGCTAAGGCCCAATAAAAGCCCATATGCTAGCCACCTGGCCCATTTGATCCCCTAAGCGCTACTCCCTCCGTTTCACAATGTAAGTCATTTTAGCATTTTCTACATTCATATTGATATTAATGAATCTAGACACACACACACACACACACACACACACACACACACACACACACACACACACACACACACACACACACACATATATATATATATATATATATATATATCGTAGCGGTTTAGTTCGATCGCTGCACCATCAAGATGAGCCTAGAGGAAGCGCGCCGCATCTCGCTGCATTAGGAGGAGTTGGAACTCGAGAGTCGAGAGGAAGCGATGCGCGGCTGTATTGAACAAGTGTGGCAGCTCAGTTGGGAGGAGTCGGTTGACCGTGTGATGAAAATAACTACTTCATCCATTTCACAATATAAGTCATTCTAGTATTTCCACACACATTCATATTGACATCATATGAATGTGTGTGGAAATGCTAGAATGACTTATATTGTGAAATGGATGAAGTAGTTATTTACACCACACGGTCAACCGACTCCACACGGTCAACCGACTCCTCCCGACTGAGCTGCCACTTTTGTTCAATACAGCCGGCTCGCTTCCTCTCGACTCTCGAGTTCCAACTCCTCCTAATGCAGCGAGATGCGGCGCGCTTCCTCTAGGCTCATCTTGATGGTGCAGCGATCGAACTAAACCGCTACGAAGACCAGCCTCGATCTCCTATCCGACTCTCCCTCCACCCAGGTATATCCCATGAGCTTCATTACAGTTTTAACTATGCAGCAATTAGCTTTATGTACGGTATGTTTTCATTTGTACTGCTCGTGAGTGGATAAGGCAAATGGAAGCTTGATTAGAGCTTGATTACTTTGTACTGTAGAATTGTAGAATAGATATGAAGTTTTCATTTCCCTTATCCACTCACGAGCAGCCGAGCACCCGCTCCTTCTCCCTCTCCTTCTCCCTTATCCACTAGCGAGGAAGAGAGCAGCGGCGGCGCCCTCCCCACAGGTGAGTGGCGACACGCTATACTCTTCCTCGAGAGCGGCGGTGCCCTCTCCCGTGTGGCTGGCAACTGGCCTCAACATAGC